CTTAATCAGGAAAGATCGGTGTTAAAAATTTCGGCATGAGGCGCAGCATTTGATGTCTTTAGATACGGCGCACCATATTGGTTTTTTTTTTGGTAGGACAGACACGAATTGATTTTTTTTTTTTTTTTTTTTGGAAAACAATTACTTTTTGATGACAAAACGTGAGTCTCCTAAAGAAGAAGTGTTAATAACTAACCAGAGGTACTTTTTTTTAATTTGCATTGATATGTCTTATTGGAATCAAAATGCAGAGCAGATCTTGTTGGGTAATAAGATCCTTATCAAGATGGTAAAAATAATAATAATAATATTATAATTAATTACAATATTTAATTACAAGATGCCAAGGCAGCATGACTGACTGTTGCAGAAGAAACAATTTGATATGATTATTGGAAATTGGTAAGCGTTGAAGCACGCATGCTACCTTGAATACATTACAATCATTCACACGTTCCTCATGTAGAAAAGGCTAATCTGACTGCTCACCCCGATGATACAATGATGCAATGGAATTCCAGGGGGGTGCATTGCCCTGGAGTTTTCTGAGACTGCATCAATTGTCAAGGATGTTTTCACTAATCTTCCCTCACAGCACCAGACCAGAGAAGGCTGCTGCCATGTTGAATGAAAAGTTGCCTGCAACAATCCTACCTCTAGGGAAGGATGGCACTGTGACAAGATGCCACAACTCTGGAGGAACATTAAGAGAATCTGCAACTCATTTCAAGTGTAGGAGGTTGCAATTCAGAGCAGGGTTGGTGGCCCTGAAATTATGTTTGGCTCTGGTGTTAAGAGGAAAGTTGTAAAATAGTGTTTGTTTTATATAATCATTTTCCCAAATTTTCTGCTTTTCTTTAATTTTTATTTGACCAACTGAATTTGTTTTTCGAATGGGAGTAGGGTTGTTGGTGAGTAGGATTTCATTTATTGTTTGCTTTTTAAGTTGTCTTTTCTCATTTTGATTATTAATGATGATAAGCCAATTTAAATCTAGGCCATAATTATTTTTCATGGGGAGGTTGACCAAATTTTCCAATTTCTCTTCACAAGTTATTGAACAATCATATCTTTTAAATCATTTACCTAAAACTATTCTATTCCATTGATTCATCCAAGCTTAATTCCATTCATATACTTTCCTTCAATTTTAAAACAATTATAAAAAACTACAAAGTGAACATAAAATTATAAATTATATATAGGGATAAGTATATATGAAAAGTAATAATAAATATAATGGTTATAATGAATATCAAGAAGCAATTGATTTTTTAGAACAAGGTTGTAATTGTGGTTGTTCTTCAAGGATTCCCAAGAAACAATTTGCAGAATTAAGGGAATCCTTTCAAGCTCTTTACAAGTCTGAACAAGACATATTTTTAATGGCCCAACTTAAGGCAATGGATGGTGGATTAGCAAGCCTTAAAAAGAAAATTAGATCTAATAAAAGAACTTTCTATCACTGGGATCACAATACACCTTTTTGTCAAGAAACTTATCTCAACATGTTGGGAATTGGTGGGACTTACTTTGAAAATATCAGAAGTCACCTGATAAACAATGGTCTTTTACCAAGAATTCATGGTAATATTAAAAGAATGGCTCAATGGAAAACTAAAATGGTAATTGGTAAAAAATGTTGCAGAAGTAGTAAAGGATTTTCTAGAAAATGGCAATTGATAAAAATATTGCTATAGTAAAAAACTTTCCTGAAAATTATGCAGAAGTTCATGAAATATCCAAAAGTGATTGAATTTTATTCCACTAATCAATCTCTTTAAAATTTTTATATAAATTATTATGTAAATCTCCATTTTTAGCATAATCAAATACCAACATATAATCATTCTCATAACATTGATTAACGCAACCACTGAATTCACTATTTGTTTTTTGACTAAAAAAAATATATAAACATTTATCTACCTCTTAAATTCACATCTACACGGAACTTTGTTTAATTTACATTAATTAATATTAAATCTTTTTTAATTTACTCCTTTAAAATGTTATCATTCGAATTATATTACTTTTTTTAATACAACATCTATTTATCATAATAACAGATTACCAATCCAAGCTGTTGCTTTATGAGTGTCTATTTAATTTATCATATATTCATTGTTTATTATATCGTTTTTTTTGTTCTATTTTTTATTTTATTTTTTATTTTCTACTTCAGCTTTGATTCATCAAAATAATCATTTTATTTGACTTTTTCACAACTGGTACAATTTTTATCATTTCAAATAATTCATTTATGATCTAATAGTTTCAACATTAATATTTATCATTGTCTTTATGAGTCAATTCATTCAATGAGTTTAATAATTTATTTATTGATTCATCAAAAATTTTTTTTTGCATTCAACTAAAATATAGAAAAATCTATAATTATTTAAAGACAAAATCACTTTTTATTAAATTGTTGTTATTGAAAATAAAATATTGCTAATATTCATTAATTTTTTTTTGCCTTTTCAATATTTTGCTCTTTGAATGATCTCTATTCATCTTTCTTCTCATCCCAATTTTAAAAAAACCACAAAGTGAACATAAAATTATATATAAGTGTATATGAAAAGTAATAATAAGTATAATGGTTCTAATGAATATCAAAAAGCTGTTGATTTTTTAGAAAAGGTTGTGGTCGTGGCTGTTCTTCAAGAATTCCCAAGGAAGGATTTGCAGAATTAAGGGAATCCTTTCAAGCTCTCTCTAAAACAGAACAAGACATATTTTTAATGGCCCAACTTAAAGCAATGGATGGTGGATTAACAAGCACCAGTAGACCCCTTAAAAAGAAAACTAGATCTAATAAAAGAACTTTCTATCACTGGGATCACAATATACCTCTTTGTCAAGAAACTTATCTCAGTATGTTAGGAATTGGTAGGTCATATTTTGAAAATATCAGAAATCATCTGATAAACAATGGTCTTTTACCAAGAATTCATGGTAATATTAAAAGAATGCCTCAATGGAAAACTAAAATGGTAATTGGTAAAAAATGTTGCAGAAGTAGTAAAGGATTTTCTAGAAAATGGCAATTGATAAAAATATTGCTATAGTAAAAAACTTTCCTGAAAATTATGCAGAAGTTCATGGATTACCAAGTCCAGGAAGAAGTGACAATAGAATAACTCAATCAATTGTATTCTACCAGCTGAGATGAGTTATAAATTAGTGCATAGACTTTCTAGTAATAACATGTTTTTTTGCAGAGTAGGATTCCTAACTGTAATCCTACCTTATTTGAATATTTTAAATCCAAAAATTTCAATTTTCAAATATTATGAATATTTGTAATGTAATGATTATGAATATTCAAAATAAATACAAATATCTCAAATAATTATGAATGTCCAAAATAATTACAAATATCCAAAATATTTGAAATATTTGAAACAGATACAAATTTACATTTCAAAATTTTTCAAGGTTGTACAATTAAATATTTAATTTTTGAGGATATTAATATTAACCTTCTTAATCAAATCAAACCAAACCAAATCTTAATATCTTAATTTCTGAGGACGTCCTTTGTGTTGTAAAAGCATACAGGAGTAATAAAAAATGTGATATTTTGAATTTTGTGTGACAAAATTGTATTGTTTTTTTTTAAACCAATAAGCAACGCTCACTATAAGTTGTGAGGATCTGATACGAGTAAAAAAAAGTGCTAAAAAGATTTTTTTTTTACAAACCAAAATTTGAAATCATTAACAATCGGAGGAGTTTTTACTATGATAAATTGTAAAGGTAAATTAATAATTTATTTTAATGCTGAAATTTATTATATATATATTTTCTAACGTGAAATGAGTATTTTCTATTCTTCAATGATATAGCTATTTAATTATAAGCAACACAAACAAAACAGGATGAACAGACAAATAATTGGATCATTTGGGATTTTATAGATAACTTTAATATTTGCATTTTAATTCAAACATGATGAATTTAAAAACTGCGGAACGATACACACACACGGTTTTGCCTACACGGAAAAAGGACAGTAAAGTTGATCGTGATACATGCAGACGTTCTTGACCCCGTCATGGAAAAAACGTTGTACGATTTGGTCATGAAGTGAATGACAACTGGATGAGCCTTTTATTATTAGTTTGTTAATTATATATATAACTAAAGGTAAATAAGAATCTGAAATTTGTTATATTGCTATATGAATTATAAGAACACAAACAGAATGAGTAAATATATTATTATTTTGACGATTTACAAACTATTTAACTGTAGAAAAAAATTTTTTGGATTCACACACTTCATTCAGGGAAATCAAGTATAAATTCAAATTTTTGTATCGCAGTAGTAAGGATGGTTTTAAACAAAACTACAATGTGATAATATCAACAAGACCCTTCTGTTGCCAAAATACAAATTCCAGGGCAAATTATTGGTGGTTATAATCCACTTATTGTAAAGTCTGGAAAGATAGCACCCCGTGACATTCCCTTATTTTTATGGTTTGTCACACACAATTTATTATATTAATCATCAAAATTTCATAGTATCTTTTCAGGCTTTATGGTAATTGGAATGGAAGTGGATTTAAGAACACAATAGAAAGTTATAAGTGATAGAAATGATATTAATACTGCTCAATTAGTTATGTAATTGACTGTCAGTGTAAGCATGCAATTTGGTGCTTTCCTACTTGGTTTCCCAAGTTTGGTAGTGGATTTGATCTTTCAATTAATACAGATTGTTG